AAAATATATTATAAAGTTTTAAATAATTTGAATAATTTTTTATTAATTTATAAATAAAAATATGCATTTTAAAAAATCCAAAAAGTTTTGTTACTTACTGCATATATAAATTTATAATTTTATTACTATTTATTTTTTTTTTTTTTGATACTTTCTAGTTAACATAAAACAATAGCAAAATATTATATATACTAAATTAATTGAAATTGAAAATTTGATAATTATAGTGGATTGTTTTTCCTTGAAAGTAACAATTTGCTTAATATATAATTTTTTGAAAAAATTGTTAACAAATTAAAATATTATAAAAGTAAATTTAATAATAAGTGACAAGGTTTAACCTTCTGTTTCTTAAAAAAAAAGTTTTTTTTTGTAAATAAAATTTAATATAAACTTCAATGAATTAAAAATAAATTTAATAATAGCTTATTTATTAAAATATAAATATATGTGGTACTTTATTTATTTTTTATTTATTAAAACAAATATTTTCATATACAGTCTATAAAAAGCAATATTAAAGGTTAAAAATCACCATAATTTTAGAATCCTAATGAATTAAAACTTTTTCAAAAATTTTTATTGCCATATTAATGATTTTTTTTTTTTTTAACATTTAATTATATTACATTTTTATTTATAATAATTAAAATTTTTTATAACTTGATTAATGCTATATACAGTATAAATGTTGCTTTATATTGAATACGAATCAATATTATCAACATTTTATTACAATTCGCAAATGATATTTTTCAATCTATTTCAATCCCATTAATAATAACAGTGAATTTACAATTTAATTCCAAAAGAAAATTTTTCATAAACATGGTGAATTTTTTAATAAATGAATCCGTATTACAATTATGAATTATTTAACTGCGATTGAAAATTATTTTCAATGTCAAAATTTTATGAATGATAAACGACCTCGATTATTCAAGAAAATCAATTTCGTATTGAACTCATTTAAAACAAAGAGAAAAACGTACTGTACGTAATTACGTATTTAGAAAAAAATCGATTGATTATTCAAAGCAATGATTAACAGCCGACATGAATATATAAAACTATTTAATATCAATTATTATATTAATTGAGCAGGGTTTTTTTTCGATGCAATGAAAACTCTTTTAAGAACTTCCGGTTCCAAATTAATATACTAATTTGGTATAAATTAGAATTTTGGATTGTTTGTTTTTTATTAAAGAAAGAAAAGGTTATTTTCTATAATTTACCTACTTACCATTATAATCAAGGCCTCGAATTAAATCGAGGTTTGAATTCCATTGGTTGATCTCAGAATTATCGTAATTTTTAAATCATGTCAAGTGTCATACGGTATTTATTTCTTCCTATGTATCAATATGCATGTACAATACGCCTCCCACTTGATGTATTCCTATTTGGTTTACTCATAGAATACGCGACTTTCCTGTTATGAAAAGATCGCAGGACGCGTTGGGCAACATTAACAATGGCTAATTCAAAAAGAGACATAAATACGTATAATCAATTAAGGGTTTGACAAATATTGCCTCACAATTGAATAACCAAGTATTACCTTCTCTTTAATTTTTTTTTTTTTTAAAACTAAAATTGGTCAAACTTTAATTGTTATGGTTACTAATTTTATGGCGAGCGATTGAATGCTGGCATAGATTACGGCTGAATAATCATCGAAGGATTTATTGATCGAGTGCCTCAATTTGAAGTATAAAAGGCCTCTACTCAACCATCGCAGTATTTTTCAAGAAACCAATTTGCTTCGAATCGAATTCAAAGAAGGAATTGTTTCGTTATTTTATAAATTTTAACGCATTTTAGAAATGACCAAGTTAGCTTTACTTTTCACGTTATTTTGTGTCGCATTTACTTGCTTCGGTATAAATGCTGAAGCCAGAAAGGCTCCTCCAACATGCGTTGGGAATCCTGGTAAAATTTTTAATTCTACTTAAGCCATTAAAATAGCCGCTAAAATTTTTTCATTCATCATCATTACTTTTTAATAAAATATATAGAATTTCCGAAAGGTCTAGTTATTCCAGAGGCCATCGCAGTTGATCTTGAAAAGAATCAATTTGCATTCTCCTTATGCGCCGCGGCGTTAGTTACTGTTCAGTGTAATGCAAAAGCCAGTGCATGGGATTTTAGTACGTACTGTAAACTATTTGCTGTTAATGACGCATACTTTTATTTGCATTGGCTTAACCAAATACTGTATGCGTAATCGTCTTTCGGATTAAATGAATAACATAGTCGGACCTGTGGGAATCCTTGTCAACGACTGTCAAGACATGGCAAATGTTATTGATAATCCTCTCTTCATCACGGCAGTTTCACTTGATGTCCCCCAAGTTTGTACGTAAATTATGACATTCCTCACACGTTTCTTCCACATTCGACATACCAACACTTTCAAATTCTTTATTACACAGTGACAAATCATAGTGGAGGGTTCAGATCTGCACTTTTGCCGTCCGATACTTCGTCAGCCGTTTTTGAGTTGGAAGCCGTTGTTCCTGCACCAAACGGCAGTAACTGGGTTCGGTCTAGAGCAATCGTAAGCAATTGACTTTTGTTATTAAAGCTACTATTGAGTTATCGAGAGCTCTAATTAATTTTCGAATATGCTCTTTCGTTTTGTAGAGCACCAGTGGAAATGGCGCGTTCTCTGATGTAACCTACCTTCAAGAAGTCAATGTCATTGGAGGATCATTACCACCTGCTAGTCAATGTAAGTTGCGTCCACGAATAAAATATACAGTAAATTGATGAACAAATAAACTTATATATTTTAATCGTCAATAAAATAACAGGTGGCACTGTTTTCCCCGATGGCTTCGTCTACTCTTCACGTTTTAGCACCACCATACTGTTTTATAAAGCACGTAAATGATCACGCAATTACAAAACTAATTCTTAGTTCTTGCCTTGATACGTCGTCGAATCATGTTATTTTAATTTTATGATGGTTTTTTACGGCGTAATTTTAAAAAATTTTAAACCACGTGAAATCTAATAAAAAATATAGCAAAATTAACTAGAATATATAAGACTGATGTATCATTTTGTGCGTACAATAATCGTTTCAAGGAAGCAAATTATATTATATGCCCAATACGTAATTTGCTAGTAACATTTGAATTTATGTCGCTCGGGAAATGATGGTGATATGGTATTATTGTTTTGATGTTTATTTTGGTCATTTTGGTAAATTGATATTTTAAAATTTAATTCGAATAAAATTATCTTTTATGTTAAAATATCAATAGAAATTATGATTAAATAATTTATTTTTTTTTTCCATAAAAATTTTATAGTAATTGAAATCGAGTATATTTTATTAATTTTAAATACACACACAAAAAAAAAAAATGAAAGAAAAAAAGACGTAACCCCAAAAATCAAGCGTTACTTTTGTCGAAACAAACTGCTGGCGACATCATGGCAAAATAATAATAATAATAATAATAATAATAATAATAATAGAAAATAAAAAATAAACAAGTATTCCGATCAAAACTTTCTGAACAGGATTTTGAATGAATGCGATAAAGAGTCATTCGGGTGTAACTAAGATTAATATGCTGAGCGACTTAAAGAAATTTTCAATCGAAAACGAGACTATGAAAATGGAAGATGATGAATGGACTCCTGGTTCTTAATATAAAAAAACTTATTGGTTTCACGTATTCAAGGCTTTATCCGAATGACCTGATCATATTAAAGCTAGGCTGTTCCGATTGATCGTTCATATATATAGTATATCGTATGAGGTTACACCCTCACTAGTCGGCACTTTAGATAGTGGTGTTCGCTTAAACATAAATAACGTTGGAGGCGGAACTTTTGTTCTTGGCGTAAAAATTTAGACCGGATGATTAATTAAAACAATTAATATCGGTCGTGACCCAAGGATCAGCAGAAGAGGCAAAAAATTTCAATATCCTCACCCATCGTTTATAATATTCCATTATTCTGTTAACTATTGGCACGAATTGTGTTTTCTTTAAATTTTATTATATATACAGAGAAATCCGAACAATTAATAATTGCGCTAACTCGGTGAATAGGCCTCACGATGACCATAGCATATGCCAATAACTCGCTTGTGATCCCAGATGTGATGCCTGCAGGTTTTGGAGTTTCGATCCAATTATAGTTCTAAATAAAGTAGGAAAATTCGAACCGTTTTTGAATTAATATTTTTTGCCTAGAAGTTAAAAAAAAAAAAAAAAAAAAAAAAAAAAAACGTGATCTTAGCATTTACGTACAGTATATTAAAATGCATGTCATCGCAATACGTACTTTTTTTGTTTTTTTTTTTTTTTTTTTTTCAGAAAAAAATCGAATTCTGATAGACTTTTTCACTCTTTCCATAAAAAATTTCATTGACAATGAAATAAATTACCCGGGTAATTAGTTTAAATCATTCAAGTGTAGACTTTCGAGAACAAGTGTACAAAGAAATATTTTGGCAATTAAATTTATCAAAGAACGAGAAAAGCAAAGTGAAAGTGGCGATGCCCTCGATATCTTTTTTCATGTTCTGGTGTTCAATTAATGAGGGGAATGTCGTTTCCGATTTATTCATTTCTTCCAAAAATGTGGAAAGTCGTTTTAAAATTGATCAAGTTAAAATTTTTTTTCTTTTCGGTTGATCAGAGAAACAAACGCTTTCTTTGTTATTCCGTTAATAAATGATTAACTACTTTTGGAGGTAGGCTAAGTTTTCGGATCTCGGAGAATTAGCAAATGAGTTTTTATGGTAAAAAGGATACACTGTAAATGAAACAAGCTCATCGTTTTTTTAAGACGATCGCAATATTGTAACTTTAACTCCACGGATAAACGTACCATATATGGTGCTTAATACGTAATTTTATTGATTCTTGTGTCTTACATCAATGTCTATCAGTCGACATTGCATTGTCATGTTACATATATAGATTTCTTTCGGTTTCATCATCAGTCTAGTTACGTAATTGGACGTATTCTGATATTATAACAAAACAAAATGTGTTCTTTTCACTCCCAATATTGTGCTTACGCTTGAAACATGTTCAAATACAAAGAAGGTAATTCTCAAAAGGAACTATTGGGTTGCTTTACAATTTCATACTAAATTTCCAACGGCCGACCTTCAATATTATTGTAATATGCGTTCGACGTACATATTGCACCAACAAAAAGCTATAAAAACTGTTCCTCAGCAATTATTCTCCCAGCAGGTTATCCTCTCTACCATTTCACTCATTTTCTTTTACATTTAATCACCTGTTGAACAGGTTTTTGCTGTTTAATCCCTAATACCCTTACCTAGACTCTTCTGGAAAGCATTTCACTGAATAAACATGAAGTTCAACATTGTCTTGATGTTACTCGCAGTTTTTATCACCACCTCCTTCTCTCTCCCTTACACAAGACGTCAACAGTCTGAACTGACCATTAACCCTTTCCTCTTCGATATCGTTCCTGGCACCCCCAAGAATAATACCGCCGCAGCGTTGAAAGAAGTATGCAGTAATTTGTCGACCGCACTAAGTAAGAAATTGGCGGATTGCGAAGGTGCGAAAAAGGGAACTGATGTATGTAACAAACTTAACGGAAGCCCAATTAATCAAGACGCTGTTACAAAGAACGGTAAACAATGTGAAGCTCACACGATAAAGAATGGTGCATTCAATCCTAATATTTTTGATAATGCATTATTACCTATCACTCAAAACGGTAATACCTTTACCGTTGGAAAAGAATCATTTCAAACTTTATCGGACGCTGTAATTGGAGCATGTAAGGAACAACGACAACGAAACCTTGCAACACTTGATGAATGCGCAAAGAACGCTGCTAATGCTGCGAAATGTAATAAGTTGGATGGAACACAAGTTACTAGGGAAGAAGTCAATTTGCATAACAGTGTTTGCTTTTCTTCTCATATCAAAAATTAGTTAGTATATTTGTGTGTGGGAATGACAAATAGATTAAACGAGTAAATAAGTACAATAAATTACCCCGGGTGTAATGGTGCTTTGGGGGGAATCAATATAAATTTTCGAGGTTCTTGTTCATCGCGGTCATTATACAAAGGATCTAAGAAATTGTATAATGAAGTAGGAATTAAAATAAAAATTTGTGACGTTGATTTCCATAAAATAAAAATTTATCGTCTTCGTATTGATGTGAAAGTACACTCACCTGACAAAAGTATCCGAACACATGTGAATAACTCTAAATCTAAAGCATAAAAATGCATCAAAAATTTTTTTCTACATAGTCCTTATTCAAAAATAAAAAAAAAATCAATGCCTAAAACTTGCGAACTTACTGATTTTGAACATAACAAAATTATTGACCTATGAAAAGGTGATCACAGTGAGTGCAAAATTAAAGATATTCTTAATCATCCAAAAAATAATTATAGCAAGACATCTTGTACATACTATAAAAAAGGATCGACACCAAATTTTGAACAAAATAACAAAAAATAAATAGAATATTTGATTCAAATTTTCGATAAAATTACAAATTTTATAAATATTAAAATTTTAAAAAATAACTTTTATCTTTTATTGATAAATTAGATAGATAATAGTTTATATTATATTTTTCAAGATGATAATTCTTCAATTTATTGAACACAAATAGTTTAATTAAACAATAATTAGAAAATAATTTGATAATAAATATTTCTTGATCTATATAAGCATCAGATTATAACCTAATTAAATATTTATGAAATGTTTTAGAAAAAAGAATTAACAAATATAACTTTTATTCAAAAAATTGTATAGAATTAATGATTATTTTAAAAGAAAAATGTAATAAAATTAAATTAGAAAATTTAAAAAATTTTAGTAAAAAATTTATTAAAAAGGATTCAAGCTATAATAGATATCAAGAAAAATTTAACAAAGTATTGATAATATCAATAAAAAATTTGAATATTTATAAATATATTAATATAAATTTTATTAAAAGTTAAAAAAAAAATCATGTTTAAGTTTTAAAAATTGTAATAATTGATATATGGTTGGATAATTTTAGTAAATAAGCATATATTGTATATTATTGCAAAAAATCAATAAGTTGAAATTGAATATCTATTAATACATTTTTCATATTTTTATCACATTTTAATATTTTCACATATTTAAACAAATAATATTAAATAATATAAAAAATTTATTAAGTATCATTTATTTATTTCCTTTTCAATATATTATATGGAAGTTCTTTAACCTTTTTTCTATTAATTAATATAATAATTAAATTAATTCCAAAATCTTTATATAAAAAAAACTTTAACTTTTTTAATTATTATAAATTCTTATTTTAAAATAATATCAAAAATAAATTATTAATCATAGTAATGAATTTTTAAAAATTAGTTATGAGAGGTTTTTTTTTAATTCATGACTAGGTTAATATAATATTCCTTTATTATAGATATACTTGATACTTATAAAATTTTATAACTTTCATATACTAACTCATTCATTATCAAGAAATTATTTCTTTAGATACAACTTAAGAAATGATATTTCACTTTTTTGGAAATTTAAAAAAATTCTTGATTAATAAAATTATTATCTATAAATCAATATTATAAATTTAAAACAATTTATATATAATTATAACTAAATAATATATATTTATTGTAAATATTTCTTAAAAAAACTAATTATTTTACCAAAATTAAAAAGTATAATATTATTATATATTTAAAAAATTTTTTTTTAAAATTAAAAAAGTTTTTTATTGTTATTCTATAAATTTTTACAAATTAAAAAGATTTTTATTATTACTTTATAAATTTTATAAAAATTAAAATTAAAAAAAAAATTTTTTTTTTTAAAAAAATATTTAGCTTACAATATTTATTTTATTAATTATATACTTTATATATACTTTAATTTCAAAACTATTATATAAATTATATTTTTTATATTTTAGGAAAAATAAAATTAATTAATAATGAGTACTCATTACTGTTAATAATGGAACCAGTTTTTTTATTCTTTGTAACTTGTTATATCTATAAAAAAACTAATATATCTAGATATCTTTAGTGTATTTATTGAAAATATTTAGAATAATTAAAATGTCTACTATGATTTTTTTTATAATATGTATTTAAATACTTGTTTTCTGTATATCTTTCCATAATAATTGCTTTTGTTTATTTTGGTTTTTTTAGATCTATATATATATATATACCTATTTAACTAGATATTATTCAAAATTTATAAATCTAAAATTGTAAATAATATTAGTATAGCTTTGAAAATTTTATCCATTTAAATAAATTTAAATAAATTTTTATTAGTTTTATCTTAAATTAATATATTATACAAGTTATATATTCTTCTATTTCTTTTTTGATAGTAATTATATTTTCTTTTCTATTTTTACTATGATTTTTATATATATAGTAGTGTAACAATCTACTTATGAGTCTGTTACCAATAATTAAAAACTTATACAATTAATATATAAAAAAGTTGTATTTTTCTATCATATAAAAAAAAATACAATAATAAAGATATTAAAGATTTAAATAAGTTTTAAAATAGTTTTTTTTCAAATTACTTATAATTTTACTATTGTAATTTCTTTAAAAGATTATTATTTTATCTAGTTATTGCAAATAACTACAGTACATTTATATCTTTATATATATAAAGCTATTATATAATTACTATAACTATTTTAATATTATATTATATATAAATTACTTTATGGTTAACTTATTTTTATTTACCTTAGCTTATATTATTTTAATTTTTTTTAAGTACTTGTAGTCAGGCTAGATTGTAAGTTTATTAATTAATTGAAAATATAAATATATTTTAATTCAAGCCCATAAAAACATACTATAGCTAAACTATTATTCTAATCTAACTAACTCATCATAGGCATAAAAGTTTTCTAAATTTAATCTTGAGAACAATATTTTGTTTCACAGTTTCTTTAAGTGAAAACCCTTCTGGTCCACTATATTATTGTTAGTAGATTGTTAATATTATATGTTATACAATATAGAAAACTATAAAATGATAGATAAAAAAATAAAAAAGTGATATTTAAAAATATCTAAATAAATGACAAAAAAACAAAAGAGTAAAAATTAAAAAAAAAATATTCCAAGCTTTCTTCAAAGATTTGCTTTTCAAAACCTCTTTTTAATAAAAAATATTTGGTCAAAATATTTTTTCTTTTCTTGACCATCTGAGGAACTTATCTATCTTGATCTTGACTTTCTTCTTGTGTATCTATCATTTGAAGAGACTTATTATCTAGTGATAACCTTTACCTCCAGGATACACTTGTTTCAAACCTTCTTTGAATAGTGATTTTTTATTCACCTGCAGTAGAAATGTGACTTATAATGGATTTCAAGTTCTTATGTGACCTAGTAATAAGGGAGTTATATTATTTCAATATAATACCTTCCAAAAGTCACACCTAGTTAAAGGAATTTTACTGATATATATCTTCCATTATCCAAAAGGTCAGATTTTCCAATAATCTTTTTATTTTGTAAAGGTAAGAGGGTTTTGAACAGTGATAATGGTTCTTTTTAATTACAATATTCTTTAACAATTTCTATAGAAATATATTTTTAACTGTAACCAAAGGGTTAAAGCTTAGCACGAACTAGCGACTATTTAATATTATTGTCTTATTGGGATAAAAAGGAGACTTTAGTCTTTAATTTTGTCTAATCATGATAATAGAAGAGAAAGACCTTAGCTTAAACAAATAATAACTTTTTCAATATCTAGATATTTGTTACTTATATCTTATTGATCTTATAGAACTGGGTTTATAGGTTATTTTAATAAGAAAGTGAATAGAACTAGGATATCAATCAACTCTTTTAATCACTAATAATGTCATTAAAACATGTTGATATGATCAATATGAGCTTATTTACATTCTGTTATTAACATATTTTATATTAGTCAATTAGATATCAGGAAATATTGTACATCTATAAATTTCAGATCAAACTAAGGTAAATAAAATCCTCAAGAAAACTTTGAAAAATAGTTAATATTTTAAGACAATATGTAAGAAGATAAATAATTTTTTTTTTTTGAATACTGGCTCAACCTTGTTTTATTTGTATTTATACAGTATTATTACAAAGAATTTTTCTAGAATATACTACCAGTCTACTATCAACAAAACTTAATAGAAATAATCTCTTTGAGGAGGAACTTACCTTACGGCTTGTAGCCACTTCTTTAGTGGGAGCTAATCTATCAAGGCTGGATTAGTGCTAAAATAAATTTATAAGATATAAAAGTTGTCTATAGAATTTGTTATCCATTGTATTATAAATTTGTTGACCAGATGCATGAACTGGTTTTTTATAAATTGTTCTTTTTGTGTGAAGATTGAATCTTCTTTTTTGAGTTCATACTTGAACTTCTTTTTTTTTTATTTTGTAATACCATTTTGTGCTTTTCATTCTTGAAATACCTCACATCTTTTTGTCCATATTTGATAAAGATGTTTGATAATTTTTGTATGTATTAGGGATATACAGCTTTTCCTGATCAGTTTGTCTAGAATTGTTTTTTTGATTTCGCAATTTAATTCTTTGAAGAATACATTTTTGATGCTTGCTGTTAAGTATTCCTTATATTTTAGATTGATTTTGTTTTTTATCTGGTCTGTGAACTTTGAGCTTTTAACTTTGTTCACATATGTTTCTATACATTCAACTATCGTATTAATTACGAATGTCTCGGTGTTTTGTTTAGTTTGTAGGCACATTAAGAGATGTATATTGGTTTCAGGTTCTTTACATACCAAGCACTCCTTGTTTTGATATAATGATGGAGCTCTTGCATATAGCTTACTTTTGGTTAGTAGCTTCTTATTCCATATGCTAAGGCAGAATTTTTTTAACTTTTGGTTCTCCCAGATTATGTGGTAATTATTCATTTTGGTTGGTTGCAAGTATATTGTAGTTATAGGCCAGTCTGTTTCTTTAACAATTCTGTTGCTGAAATTGTATCTTGTCCTATTTAGTAATCTTCATTTTGCCAAATGTATAGTGTTTGTTAGCTTTTTTGTGATCATTTTTGCTGGGATACCAGTAGGGATGTTATCCCATTGGGAGGCTATCCCAATATATTAATTATGTATTCCTGCTATCTCAATTTTATGTTTTCCTGATAGCATGCCCTTCCAAGGGTGGATTTGTGCTAGTTTGTCTGCTATTTCATTGTATTAGATTCCTGACTGGCCTTTCACTTTGAAGAGTAACAGTTTTATATTTTGTACTTTGCACCATTCTGAAATCTGTAACAGTATATTGTAGTTTTTCTATGTTTTTATGATTTTTTCGGTGCTTTTTTTTAGTGTTTTCAGGATTTCATTGATTGCTACTTGGCTATCAGTGAATATATTTGCAGTACTGTGTTCAGGAAAAGTGCTGAAAGTTGTTAAAATAGCTGCTATTTTGCTATTTCTGTTCTAGTTGAAGAGGAGTGTCTAGTTATCTGTCCCTAAAAGGTATATATCTCCTGATCTAGAGTAATAATGATCCATCCCAGTCCCATATAGTTTTTGTCTCTGAATTTAATTAGGAAGCCATCTGTATAAATATCGAAGATTGCATAGTTGTTTAGTTTCTCTTTAATTGTTTTTAAGGCTGTAAGACAATCTATAGGGCCTTTTATTATGTTGGTTAGTTTTTCTAGGCTTTTTACAGTCTTGTTGAAATTGTAATTTCAGTTTCGACTTCTTGTAAATGATGGTGTTCTACTTGTTCACTGAACTTTTTCCATTGTTCAGTTGTGATCAAATGCCAATTTAGATGAGGGTTAGGTGTGTGGTGTGAGGCTTGTTTGGGTCTGTCTAAATACCAGACTTCCAATTTCATTGTCATTTGCTTGTGATCACTTTGTATAAGAGGTACTCTAGAGTCTTGAATAGTGGCTGCTCTAGATTGCCAGGTTGCTATAGAGTTTATCCATATCTAATCAATTCTACTACTTAATATACCTCTATTCCATTTATACTCATATTTAGTTAGTTTATGTTTTCTGTATGTATCTTCTAATCCATTGTCTTGTAGAGTCTGTATGTGTTTGCCTGAGGGGCTGTACTTTCTGTTCACTCTGTTATTGTTTTGCTTGTCTTTAGAGAGGTTAGTAACACCATTGAGGTCCCCTAGTATTATAATGTGCCAACCTTTTTTTGTTACTTCTTAGATCCATTCGTTGAGGGTGTTGATAACTGTGTACTTTTCTCTTTCAATATCTTGTGCTGGAAAGTATATTCCTATAATTCTCATTTTTTCTTTATATGGGAAAGCCAGGTCAGTGGCGATAAATCTCCCAGTCAGTATTTTATAATTGTATATTCGATAAGCTATTTCTTTGCTGATCATCATATTGAGACCTTGTCTGATTGTTTGGGATTCCTTTTGTGTCCAAATAGTTTGATATTTTGCATGTTGCCAGTGTTTTGATTGATGGTATAAACTGTTGGTTTCTATAGTGACTATAATGTTCCATTCTGTTGAGCTACAAAAGTTAAACCAAGTTTCTCATTTGTGTATTTCTACAAGTCCTTATATGTTAAGTGTGGTAACTTTCCAGATGGGTTTGTAAAGGTATCTATTTGTCTATGTTAATTCTATCATATGTGTTAGTGGAGGTGTATTGTTATCAGTTATTATGTTTGTTGAGTTTTGGGGAGTTTCTTCTTGATATGATATTGTATTAGGTAACATGGTGGTAATATTGATACTAGATATTTCTTGGTATTATGTATTTTTGATGTTCAAGTTACTCTTCATCATTGTTAATTTGAAGGGTTTGTGTGTTGCCTGCGAAGGAATCAATAATTGCATTATACATGTGATCCATATTTTGATCTAGTTTTTGTATAGATGGTTGGATTCATTGCTATTGAGTGCGGATGTCTTGGTTACTATTAGTAGGAGCCTCTTCTATTGTTGGGTTATCTTCTCTTTTACCATACAAAATTGTGTTCTCTTTCATGTGTTTGCCATATTCTTCATTATAGGTCCCAAGATTGATAATGCATTCATCCAGGTTTACAATTTCTTCCTTAATCTATATGATTTCTTGTCTGATTTCATTAAGGATGTTTAAGTCAGATTGATGTGACTGTTCCATTGCTTTGTTTTCTCTTGCTGTTTTGACTGCTACTACATATGAATCTGGTCTGGTTTTGGTGTATTTGTTACTGGAGTTTTTCATCTAATTGTTTCAGTATGGGCAGGTCTGAATCTATTATAGAGTTTCCCAAATCTATTTGCTTATTCTGTATTATAGTGGTTCTACTGTTTCCTTCTTTCCTTAATAGAACATTGAATAACTAGATGCATTGCACTACCACAT